CTTACTGGCAAGGCCCCAAACCCCAACTTCTTTCCCTGAGGCAACACATTTTGTCTCGCAGCTACAGTGCGTACAGTGTCCTCATGTTGTGCTGCCCTGCCTGGCAAGTGTAACTCGACTGGTGTGCCCACATGTAATTAAGAGCAGAGAGCAGTGCCACTGAAATATGACTGCTGTAGTTCTTGTTTGTGCTGGAGCTCTTGGACAAAGGAACTGAACATACTGCCTCTTTCTGTCTTAATTTACTGTGTGCAGAGCTGGTGACCCTAGTTATTAATTGCACATTCTTGATCCCTGTTGCTTCCACAGCCAGTTAATGAGTGGAACACACCTGCCGCTGCCCATGTGCCTTAGACAAGGCACTGGCATACCCAGATGCTTCCCAAGCACCTTGCTGTGAGGCTGGAGCAGTGTGAGACCTGTCACTGATGCTTTCTGCCTGTTCCCAGCCGAGGATGAAGGACAGCCAGGAGAAGCGCACATTTCCTTCACTGCTATACTAGGGTGTCCAAATGTCACCTGGAAGCCACCCTGGCATTGCTGTGCTCCACAGAGCAGTTTCTCATTTAGTATGTCTCAACAAATCCATCATTAAAACCTGGTTCAATAATGCTCAAGAACATGTTTAAAGCTAAATTGTGTTGCTGGGAGTGAATGTGCCCAGAGGTACCAATGGTGTCTTGGCACAACGGGGTGTCGCTACCCTCAGGTTTAAAAAACTTTGTTGAGTAAAACCCGGTCTGCTCTCAGGGAGCTGATGACTTGCAGGAAGAGCGGACCAAACCACTGGCTTAGGTCATGGTCGCTGACAAGCAAGAGTCGGTGGCTGCTTAGAGGGGCTGCCCTCAACCCCTCCCATTTGTTTTTGTAGACATTTACCTAAAGTTTTGATACAGATACTTGCAGCCATAGACACCTGTAGTGTGGCAGCAGTAACCCATTTCCCTATAGGCAACAAACTAGTTGCTCCTGTAACTGTCCTCTCAGAAACACGATGTGGTGCTTGGAAAACCTGTGCCACAAAAGCTCTTCTTTTGTTCACGTGCAAGGTAGACTTAGTTTATGGTACTGTGTCTTTCAGTAAATTATTGATACAGCTGCCATGCAGAGGAAGGGAAACAACAGAGTCATGTGCTGCATGGCTCCACCTCATTGGTTTTGTTTCAGAAGTGCCTGGGCTTCACTCTGACAGTTTTATTGCAGGGAAAAAATAATTTTCTCCTAGTCCTAGCCTGGTGAAAGGAAGGGATAGGCTATGGTGGCAGCATCAACGCTAGCTGGAGCACCCAGGCCTGTGCCAATGACCACATAGTCTAGAGGCGGGGCTGCTGTTCAATGAGCCAAGCAAAGGTACACAGGAGAACAATCGCTTGGTGCTAGAAGGCAGTTTCCAGCTGACAACCACAGCTTAGCTACATCTCACCCTTGTAAAGCAAAAATGTTTTAGGAATCTCTGTGGCTCATGGATCTAAGTCAGAATCTGCTGCCATTTGCACTGTGGGCGGTTTAATGAGTTCAGCAGAGTCAGCCTGGACTGAGGTGAGACACTGGTTAGGTTTTCATATCTATGGGAACTAGCTTAAAATGCCTACTGTATTTCTTGACTCTAGACTGTTTTGCAACCCTAGATACACTGTCTCTCACAAGAATGACAAGTTCAGACCCATCTGTGGCTTTATATTTTATAGAGAGCCCAATATGGGAGTGATTTTTTTTTTTTAATTATTTCATTTTTTAATCAATGTGAAAGACACACATGCTACCTTTCTGCTGAAGTTTTCATGTGTGACCATGGATCCCGCTACCACACACATGAATAAGTATTTGATTCTTTTTTACATTCTTACGTCCTTATTTTTATAATGTCTTAATAAGTCAAACAACAACATGTTGCTTGAACATACACATTACGATGATCTTAATAGCTCAGGAACTCTGAAAGCAAAGACTTGATTATTTGAGGGCTAAGAAGTCCAAGAGACTAAGTGTATTCTGTTACAGACTATTCTGTTATCATCTTTGGTTTTGTTTGTTTTTTTTTTTTCCCATGCAGAGCATAAGATCATATTTATGTTTGTGTAAGTTCTTACTGTTATTGCTTTTGCTTGAATATTGCAGGGCTTCATAGGAAATCCACTGATTTAGGCATTGAGCGGTTATCCTGTTCTCACTGAATTTTCTAGAAAAACTCCTGTTGCCTTCAAGGAAAGATGCATGAAATCTTATTATATGTATGTGATTTCAGAACTGAGAAAACAGACTGTCTTGTGCTCAAGAAGGAAGTAGCAGGAAGTCAGCCTATTAATATATCCTTTAAAATATTTTGGGCTGGAATCCTTTCTGATACGATCCCATCTGAGATTCTGAAGTTCCACTAAGAACGAATTTTCATCATTTTCATATAATCCTAAAAACTTAGAAAAGGGTAAGATATGTCTTGATGTGGGAGTCATGACTGACTCCCTAAGGAGAATGAGTCCTGTTGTAAATTGCTTCACTTTACTGAAATATTCAGAAAGAAAATGGTTCTTTTTAGGGAGAGTTAATTGATGAAACAAGTTGGAAAACTGTGTGATTAAAATATAATTTGGTCAGGCATTTGTTCTGCTCTTGGTTTGTGGTCGAAAATCTCACCTGCTGGGAATGTTGTACTTGTCTAGGGGGAGGCTGGGGCACTTGGGAGCAAAGTTATACATCTCTGAACCTAGCTCGAGGATTTAAGGATCAAAGGTACCATTAAGTACACTGACTTCATTTGGTCTGAATCGCAAGCCATTAACTTTCAGGCAATTACTCCTGCGGGGAGCCCAATGACTTGCTTTGGCTAAGTCTTATCTTGTGGGAGGACATCAAGTCTTGACATCGACAGATGGAGAATCCAGCAGGTTTTCTGATAACTTCTTCATCAGGTCATCAGCTCTCCACTGTTCAAAAATGTGATCCCTCACGTAAAACAGAATGCTTTGGCATTTAGTGTCTCAGCATTAGCTCATGTTGTGCCTTTCTTTGGCAGACAGAGGAATAACTCAGTGCCTAGTAATTTCTATAGAGGCTCTTAGATTCAAGAAGCAAGTCACCTCCTACCCTTCTTTTCAATGAAGTGACTTGCTCAAGTGCTGTATTTCCTCCACTTACAGTGGCCTTTCTCTGCCCCTTGACAGGCTTTAGCTTTGCTGCTTTTTTTTTTTTTTACTTCCAATTTTACTGTATTTTTTGTTGATGTCTCCTGTATTCCAGCAGCTTCAGTTTCCAAGGGCTCAGGTAAAATTTGCTTCTTGCATCTCCTCTTACTAAGCAGCAATTGAACAAAGGGTTGGGTTTTTTTTTCCCTGCCCTGGTTTTATTCAACACCTTGTCCTATTGCAGATATTACTCCCAGATGTACTGTACATTGACTTTACTTTGAGAGGACCCAAGATTCTTTGTCAGTGTCATTTACTATTCATCAGTCTCTGTTTTGTCAGCAGAGTTCAGCACCTTTGACAGATGAAAATGGGAAACAGCACTTTGGTCTTGGACCTCTGCAGGACCCCCTTACTTCTCTGATCTCATGGAACAAGGATGCACCACTCAGCGGTATGTTTTAAGAATAGATAATTAATCAGTTTAATCTAGGTAAATTTTCAGTCTGGTATTGTTTTGGTTTGTTTGAGGTTTTAATGTTTGTTTACAATATGTTGCTCAATTACTGCAACTCATATGCCTTAGCAATGTGTACTGACAAAATGAACACATATAAATATCTTTAGCAATCAGACTTCCAGTCTCATGACAGTTTGGGGGCAATTAAACAAATGCCTTGGCATGCTAAAATGTACTTGCCTACCACTTAGGGACATTGTGAGGATTTATTAGCTATTATGCTAGATTAAATCAGCCACGGCCCTTTTGAGCCAAAAGTCTTCTCTGGGGTTGAACAGAGTAATACTACTTTCTACTTCTCCCCAGAGCCTGTGTTGATTTAGGTAGTCCTACATTAGGGCGTTCTCAGTACAGCTTGTGACAGGAAGGCACGAAGCCGATCTGTATAAACTAGCATTTAATAGGCCACAAGAACCTGATCTGGAAATCAATTCTGAGAAAAGCGACCAGAATTTTCAATACCATGATGCTGAAGCACACCTACCAGGGGCTGGGGTGGGCAGACGGTTCGTATTAGGCAGTTTGAAAATACCCGTGTGGAATCAATAAACAGCACCGAGTCAGGGGTGACGTAAAGAGGAAGCTTAACTCCATTACCAGCGTCTAAGTCAGAGGGAGTTTTGCAATCGCCGGCGGGAGGACGGAGCCGTAAATCGGGCCCGTGTGCGTGGGCCAGCCGCGTCCGTCGGGGGATGGCCTCGGAGAGGGCCTGAGTCGCCCCATCGGGGCTTCAGCACCGAGGACAGCGCCAGCCCGGCGCTGCGCGTGCCCCAGCACCGTCCCGCGCTGGTCTACCTGCCCTCGCGTCCTCCACCGCTCTCTCCTGCTCGGGTTCCTCTTCTGCCTCCTGCCCCCCTGCCCGCCGTTTCCCCACCTGCCCCTCGCGTGTTTCGTAAAGTAACCTGTAGCGAAGCTTCGCCTCTGTCAGACCACCCGGTATTGCTCCTCGCTCCTTTTTTTCTCTTCTTTCCTATCAATCCCTGACGCCCCTAGCCGCGGTGAGTGCCCCGACACTTTGTAAACACGGGGCCTCAGCCCAGCCGGGGATGCACAATCGGGCTGGGGTCTCCCGGGCCCGCTTCCCCATGCCCGGAGGACCCGGGGCGCTCCCCTTGTCGTGCCGGCCCCGAGCAGGGTAGAAGCCAGAACCGTGTGCGTGGGGCGGTGGGGGGGGGGGTGGTCGTAGCGGCCGCGCTCCCACTCCCAGCGAGTGGCGGCGGGCCAGCCCTCGCCCGGGCTCGCAGCCTGCCCCCTGCACCCGGAGAGGCTCCGAGCCTCTCACCCCAGACGGGGGATGGCAGCGCCTTCCCACCCTCCCTCCACCCCGCTTATCTTCCCCGGTGCCGCGGAGCACTCACCGCCGGCGCGGAGGGCAGCGGGCGGGCGATTCTGCGGAGCAGCACCCCGGCGGGGCGGCTGCGATGCTGCAGCCGGAGGGGCTAGGGGGGGTTGCGCTGGGATCCGCCGATCCCGGCTCCCGGCAGCGCACGCAGGGCGGGGGGAGGGAGGGATGGATGGAGGGGGAGGGATGGATGGAGGAGGAGGGAGGGAAGGACGAGGGAGGGAGGAGGGCGCTGCAGCTCCTCAATTATTCAGCGCTCCCCCTTCCCTGCTCTCTCCCCGCCTGCCGCATGTGATCGCCCGGCAATACCCGTGGGTCGATCCGAGCCTGGCCGGGCTCTGGAGACCGGCCTGCGCTGGGCTGCACCCCCACGGCCACGTTCCCACTCGCCGAGTCCCCCCCGCCTGCTCAAGTGGCCTCAGGGCTGAGGGCAGCCTCCCCCATATTAGCCGCTGCTGAAAAATAACTCTTTCCGGATGCCTCCTCCAGAGCGGGGCTTTCCTCACTCCAGGGCTGGAGGCTTTCTCCTTGAGCCTTAGTACCTTGGGGCACTAATGCTGTAATTCTGTAACAGGCAGAATTAGGACTTAAATCATGTTTTGTGGTTTGCTGCTTGCGGGGATGTCCAACCCCCTGCATGGCCTGGCTGGGAGGAGCTGGGTATCAGGTCCAGGGTGTATTTTATATTTTATATCCATAGCTGCTTTTGAGGATAGCTGGAATTCATGTTCAAGACGATTCCTTATCACATTTTTCTGTCTTGATTCATGCTATTTAGCTCCATCTAGAAACGCTCCCTCTGTATACCTCCAGGATCAGATTTCAGTCTGTGCTACAGCTTCACACTATAATGTCTAATAGGACCCTTTCCTAGATGCAGTAATAGAAGCTATTAATGTGCAGAGAAGCCATTCATTCTCTAAACACCAAAATAAATATCTGCTGGTAGGAATGAAAGGTGTAAACCTTCAACTTCAGTTCGATTTGGGAAACCAACACCTGGCTAATGTGAGTGACCCTGACAGGAGCTACATCAATGGCAGTAGTCTTCTGGGGATATGCAGACAGAAACACTGCACAGAGAAACCTAGCCAGGATGTCCATCATCCTGTCTTTGGGCAGGAAAGTGGACTACGTCATCTCTGATATCCTTTCCAGCCTTGATTTCTGTGGTATTTTTTATGGCTTTCCAGATGAGTGTCATCATTTTCCCACTTTCTTACCTGACCCTTTCCTCTCTCCAGCTTAGCTTTACCTCCCTCTCTTCTTTCCCACCCAGAAGTGTCTTTACAGCCCCTCTTCCCAAACAGGAATAGAAAAGACCTCTCCCAGGTTACTGCTGGACAGTAGTAGGTGTCATTACAGGATGACAAGATGTTACATTCCCTTCCTGCCACCCTGGCCAGCACACATCCCACCACACAGTGTACAGCAGAAAAACCCTTCTTGAGGCCGAAGTGCAGCCAGCTGATTACTCCCCTCACAACCAGCAGTTTTGAAACCCTGTTTCTGTTCTTTTCCTTATTCTTTGACTGCTCTCCTGTCCCTGCCAGTAGTCCCCGTGCTTCCCATTTGGTTGCTGTTTCTCTTCTCACTCAATGGCTTCCCCAGCTGCTATTGCTCAGTCTGTGGACACTGGGTGCAGCTGTGGGTGGCTGATCTCAGGAGCTTCCCTTTGACTAAATCTGAGAAAAAGAGAAAAGCTTCTCCATCTGCTATTGCACCTTGTTTCACAGCACTTTTAAGACTGTGATGGACTCCAGCTGACAGCACCACCAGCCTTTTGTGCTCACATCCAACTTCCTGGTGCTTGTAGCGTAGGTAAAAGACATAGGTGGGGTGTGTTTCTGAAACGATTGTCAGTGTGGCCAAGTTTTAAGTGGACTTCCCTGCGTGTATGAGTTCAGAGTCGTTTGAGTCATATTCATTCCTTGCGGCTGGTGTACTGGAGCATGGGACAGCATGCCCTGAGGGCTGACTTGCAGGCTGGGGCTGTCAGCACATCCAGCTTATTGCAGTTTATTTGGTAGCAGCAGAGAGGCCCTTTTGTGTCCTCTTAGCAAATACTTGTAGCACGCAAGATTGTACAAATCACTGTGCAGTACAACGCCATCCCTGCCATCCACCTTCCCTCTACTGCTCATACCTCTTGCTCCATCAGACATGTCTGTGTAATAGTTTTCCAGATGCTGTTACAGTCCAGCCTGAGTATGTGTTTTATCCATTTGCCTTTGTTTTATCCAGTGGTACCTATCGTTAGCCAGCCAAAACAATGTTTCACCACCTTATCCTACCATCATTGGATGGTTTGTATTGGAAGGGACCTTAAAGATCATGTAGTTCCAACCCCTGCATTGGTTCCACTACAGCAGATTGCTCAAAGCCTCATCCAACCTGTCCTCCTAATAAAATCACCTTGAGTAATAAAAAGCACAAATATTTTGTCAGATGCTTACTTAAGTTCTCTATTATTAATCCTCACTCTGTTCTCATGAGTTTTGTAACTTCCAGTCTTACAGGAAGATTAATTTCTACAGCTATCCCTCTAATGGTGCTCTTCAAGTTGATTGTGAGTCTATCATCTGGATGAAGAACTGCATGAGGCCAAGTTACCCTCTTGATCAAGCCCATCAGTGAGATCACCCTCAGATTAGGGTGAAATTTCCCATAGCATCCAAGCACACGATGATACTTCTGCAGCAGAATTTCCTCTGTCCCTATGCACTGCCCAATTTGCCCATTCCAAAACAATTTCTGCCCATCTTTCTGTAACGGTACATGGCTGTCTGACTGGTCATTTAAATACTTAGTCTGATTCTGAATGTGACCAAGGCTTTGGCCTCAGTAACTAACCTCCTAGCAGGGATCTCCACCAGCTGTTATCTTGTATTCTTGGCTGTTTTGCTTATCAGCATCACATATAATCTTTGCAGTTCTGTGGGTCATAACTTTCTTTTTTGTGAGTGAATACACATGAGAAGAAGCCACCTGATTGATTTGCTTTCTTCCTTTTATTAAAACATTTGTTTACCTTTCTCATAATCCCCTCATACTTGTGTAATCTGTGACTAATTAATTGTGCCATTTAAGTACCATGGTTCCTGCAGTTTTCTGGGCTATTTCTTTGTCTGCAGAGCTTTTTATTAGGACAGTCAACATGATCTTGGCCTGCTGGCTCCCAAGTCCCTCTGTGGCTTCCAGCATCCTCACCGTAGGGGGCATCTTTCCTTTTATGAAACCTCCTCAGAAAGGAAAACTCATCTTTATTTCCTTTATTTTGATGAGTTTTCCTTAGTGCTGTTTCTCAAAATGTTTTGACATCATCAAAGCTGACTAATGTCCTGTTCAAGAGAAATAACTCGAGTTCCCCTTTGGTTTACATTGGACTGCCAACATGTGTGCTTGGTTTTTGTTGGTTTTGCAAAGCCACATTGAGTTGGGTTGTGTTTCCAAAGAGAAAGCTATTTGAAACAAATGAAGTTGGAGAAGAAAAACTGTTTTGGCATAAAATCAAATTCCAGTCAGAAATTACGTTTTAAATTGACACAAGTGAAAATTAGTATGCATTTTCAAATGTTTACTCCTGAACTCCAGTGAGCATTGAGAGGGAGAAGCCACAGCATCTTTCCCTTGCCATTTCTGTGTCTGTGTGCACTGGCTGCGTCCCCTCCAGCAGCTCCTGTTCAATGAGTGGAGCTGAAGGCACAGTCTCCATCACATGCTTATCATTGAGCAAAGGCGGTCAGAGCTTGTCAGCTGGCTCTTAGGAAAGATTGATATTTCATTGAAAAGCACTGCTTTGGTCTGCAAGCACCAGGGGGCACAGGGACATCCTATTAAGCAGCCACTGGGATGTAGTGATGGGAGCTGGTTAGACCTCTGCCTGCTCATTCTGCATGTCTGATAACTCATGTTCATGGCTTTGGCAAGTGTCCTCACTCCAGTTTGGTCTGGGGCATAACGATAACTTGCTGAATAGCATTAGCTCCTGAATGTCCAGTGCAAAGTTCAGTTGACAGTGTCTCTGAGCAAAGACCAGATGGAGCCCTGCAGAGGTGCTGGTATTTTTAGAAACATGGCCAGAATGCTTGGCCACTCTTTTTATTTCTTTTGCAGTTGGAACCTCAGTCAGTATCTTATAGGGGTCAGAGTGATGGAGGCATTAATATAGAAGGATAAGAAGAGGGATTAATCTTGCTGTCTCATCTCTTGTTGATGACTAGTGCTACGATGAATACTAGCATGAGGAAAGATAGCCCTGTAATTAAACCCCTGACTTGAGACTTAGAAAACCTTACTATGTTACTGGCTCTACAACAGGTTTCTTGGGTAAACCTCATTGGTCTTTGTAGTCCCAGTGCTGCGAAACGATCACAGAAGTATTGTCCAGTCTCAGCAGGTAAGTTGGTTGCACATGCTCTAATTTTTTGGGGTGAGGGATTCTCTCTATGTGCTTTATGGGATCCTGACTTCACTGAGGCAATTCAGCTGGATAGATGCTGTAGCTGGGGATATGGAAGAAAGTGCCTGGAATGGCAAACTGTACCTCCCTCCTCCCTGACCCCATGAGGTCTTGCCCCTTACAGTCCCAGACTGCAGCCCTGACACAGCTGGGTAGTGGATGAGCCCAGCATTCCCAGGGCACCCTCTTCATTATTTAAGTTACTTGTCTGTAGTGGAACTGGCCATGGATTCTTTTCTGCCTAGGGCAATGGGCAGAGTTATTCTGCCCTGGTAATTGACATCTTGGGCAGGTTAAAAGAAAACGGTTGTGTGGATGTTCCTCATAAACTGCCCTGTATGGATTGGGAACCTCAGTGGTGTGTGGGTATGGACAGAAACTGGGGGGAAATCCCAGCCTGGGGATGTTTTGCCATTTGATTTTATCCAGCTAAGATATCTCCCAGCCTCTTTCTTTCATGCTCCATATCTTCCATGCCAGGTCGAGCTGAGAAGACAGGTAATGCATCCATCAGACACATTCCCTGTTCAGATAGAGATGGGGTGATGGAGCATTAAAGAAATCCCTTTCAAAGCCGTATGCAAACGTACAGCCCAAGCCTAGTTCCTATGGCTTCTCCCCTGGCTGGAGGCTGTCGCTGGTGCCTGCAATACAAGCGATGCCCTTTGGTGATGCCATCACTGCCCCCGACGGAGAGCTCCCACTGG